CCATGGAGCAGAAAAGAGTAAATTGTTTATATGGAGGATAAGAAAAGTCGAAAAAGAACTGTAAGACACTCATTAAAGAGGCGATAAAAAATTTCGAAAGCTGATGAAGAAAAAACTAAACCTACTGGTAAGAGCAGAGAAGAAATGTCTGCTGAAAACGTCCTTCAGGACCACAAGCCAGCAATTAAGTGAATGTAGAAGGCGATAACACTACAGTGAGTTCAACTTTATAACATAATTTTTCGTCCAAAAAAGGTAAACGTAAACTTAGTAAGAATAAGCTTAGCTATGGACGGTTGCGCAAGATGGCTAGCGGAAAGTTTGCGATTTAGTAAGAACTTTTCAAATCCTACAGCCAATTAGCCTGCTCAATTCTACCCACTTTAAGGAGAGGTGGATTGAAAGACCGTGACATAACTAACTCGCAGCAGGAAACAAACCAAATCACCCACCACAGAATCAACTGGTTTAATATGGCTCAAAGGCTTGGCAACAGGTAAGGAGGCATTGGCAAGAATTTCCTCCTGAGCAAGAGATCCCGATCTTGCCGCGTTGTTGGTGTGGCGAAAGAGGGAGTTGAGCAGAGCCCCTGGCGTTTCGGGGGCAGATCGCTGTTTACCCACACCTCCCGATGACGTCCCATTTGGGCTTTTATAGAAGAAAAAAAAAGTATCTACAAATGCCAACAACTGGTTCGAGAAATTCACGATTCCGACTCAATGTAAATATATGCAAACATGTTTTTCTTGAAGGGGAGGGAAGGAGGAGGAATAAACAATAGTTTACTTTGGCAAACAATCTGACGTGACGACGGCCTATTAAAATTTTCATTCCTGCAGTTGATGCTAAAGGCGATTCTGGATTCTAGCTCAGTGCACTACTTTCAAGGATACCCAGCGTGAGACAAAAAAGGCAAAATAAGGCAAGAAGAGGGGAGTGCGACATTAAGTTTTGAGGCTTGACTACATTAGCTTCTCGATTCCCGCGATATCCAATCATCAGCTTTTGGTGATGTTGTAAGGCCATGTCAAAATGCTTTAAGCATGGTAGTCCTCCTCGCCATATCATCAGAGGTATGCCCAAAAAATTCCATTTTCAAAGGTAAGCCGATAAGCAAAACAAATTCTAAATAAACTGATTCAGAGCAGTCATAAGTTAGTGCACAATTGAAGTCACAAACCACTTCGGAATTCCTGACTGCATGAGAGGATCACGAGAGAGAGGAATGACCGAGGCTATGACAAGTGGAGGTCTTCTCAAGCTCATGGTTGAGATGGCGTACCTGTTAAATGCATAGAAGAAAGGTGGATTATCTGATCCTATTCAGCGAATGCGGAACCCTATTTGCTAAGACCACCTAAATGTTGGCATTGTTACTTTTGCGACCAGTCTGACATGCTTGATTGCCCAAAAAGCGTTCCATGAGGAACAGTTAAGTTAGTTAATGTTCCATTCCAAGAGTAAGGAATTCCAGCTTTGACGCTTTATTAAAACCTCAAACCCTGGGCGACAAATGAATTGAGTTGGTTCAATAGGTTTGTGAGGGAATAAAAAGCAAAGCTTATTAATCTCGAACCAATTGAATTAAAAGGAATTAGATAGATATATTGAACTTATTATGGTCATCCAGGTTGGTGCGATCGCTGCTGGAGCTGTCAGTTAAACAAGTTACACCGCACATCACTCAATGACTTGTTTATCGAATAGGCTGTTTTCTTTGCATCAGAAACGAACCTCATTTCACGAAGTTAATAAAGTTTCCAGCATCCGTATCTACGGCCGAAACAAAGTGGTAAAGCTTTAGGTTAAAAAAATCCAAGACTACTAAATAGATTCAGTTCTTGTACTCCCATTTTCCCAAAATAGACCATCAGAATAAAGAGGTTCCACCCTTGGGCTTGGATGGGGTTATTTTGTCGTCACAAGCATTATCCACTCGTATCTGTCGATCACAGAGGTAGTGACAAGCCAGTCT